GGGCTTGCTGGGGTGGGGAAAGGCAGCCCAGGGTTCGCACTGCAAGATTTAGTACAGTTTCAGTGGGAAAGCGAAGTAACATTTCGGGCAGAGTTGCAGCATGAGTCACTGAAACCACCTTTTGTGTATTGGCACCTCACCCACTCCCAGCCTGGCCATCGCCCCTCACGGTATGTGTACGGGATATTCCTGGGTAACAGCTGGCTCCTTAACACATACAGCTGGCCAGGGAGGTCACTGCTTCAGCCCATCGAGGTACCCAAGACAGTGGCTATCACACTTGCAGAACTCTCTTGAAGGCTGGTTTAAACTTCAAGCCATGCTTTGTGCTTGCCATGACTGCAGGCTGAGGAGAAGGCCAGTAAGGAAAGCAGGTGAAATGGTCCTGACCCCAGCTCCTGGCAAGCGTAAGCACCTTCTACAGCTACGTGCAATTTGTGTAAGTCTAATAGAGGCTGTGGAGTATCTTGAAAAGCAAAGACAGACCCTAGGGCAGAAATGTTTTCCCTGCTAAGCCACAAAGTTTGTTTTTGGAGAATTTAATTGAAAAAAAAATGCTAAACCACAGAAGACTAATTTGAGTTGTACCTCGGCCTCCACCCTGCTGCAGGAAAATGAACTTAAGAGCAAATTTACATTCTCTGACAGGGGAAGGATATTTGCTGAAAGGTATCATTGCTATACATGGACCCCCAAAAAAGTAGTCAACAAAATCCGTAAATGACTTGAGCAATGGGATAAGACTATGACTTCCCAAAGGCACCTACAGAACAAGGAGGTGGACCTCATGGAAGAGCTCCCCATGAGGAGTTATAATCACAGCTGAAGCTGCAACATGCATTGCTTTAGTTATCTTCTAGGGATGAAGGAGGAACAGACTGCATCACCCACAGCATTTCACACTGAATGAATGCATAAACCTTTCCTCCCAGCTCCATATTCTCAAGGTGAAGTTTATCCTACTGGGACCTTGTCTGCCCCTCTACATTGCTTTAGCTTGCTAAATATGGTGTAGTTATTTCTCTGGTGTATTAGATGATTCCTCCTGTGAGCCTAGAATAAAGCCAGGTACTCTGAGATGCACCAATACAACTTGCTGAGAAATTGTCTCAGATTTTTTTCACTCCTTCAGTAGTTTCAGCTCCTTTCAGGCTGCAGGTGGCAAAGTTACCATAATGGTGTGCATTTTCTTATTTCTAGAGAAAAGCAGATACAGATTTTGTGCAGTGTGCTCCACTTAGTTCTGCAGCATTTACATAGAAGTGTTATGCATGCCTTCCATAATGACCCTGTCTAGCTTGCCTGGAAAAGAGAGCAAATTGGGTGTCCAGGCTTTGTTATTTCTGAGTTAATTTCACTGAGATTTGATGAGGGGATCAAGTCAAAACTATCATCTAGCACAAGCAATTCCTGCCTTTAGCTGAATCTGCCTCACACTGCCGTAATGCTGTTTTTGATGCAGTTGTAGCACCTGCCCTCCTCTTTTGGGCTGTGGGCTGAAGTCTGAGCTATCCTCTTGCAGGTCAGCCCCCCCTCTGCTGCTGTTTGCAACCTTCTCTGAGTTTTTTCCCCAGTTCCCATCAGTGCCCCAATTTAACTATCTTTCTACAGGAATTAGTGCCAAAAGAGATGTCAAATGATGCCAGCAGCAGGCTTGTGAAGGAGCAGATGTGAAGGGTTCGACTGGTTCTGCTGTGGTGAGGCTGAGGTCAGGTTTTGTCAGCCAGGAGGTCTCAGCTGCTCTTGGGCATTGTAACTGCTCTGGCCATTAAGTCCCTAGGTGCTACCGAAGTGCGTGCTACTATTTTCATACAGTTTAAATGTCTTGGCAAGCTGATGCTATACAAGTGTCTTTCCCCAGATCCATGGAGGGTAATCCTGTCTATGCGGGGCCCTACTGGGGGGAGAAGAGATTTGTGACTCATATGGATTAAACTCAATGCAAACATCACTGCATCTTAATGGAACTGAGCTCAGATGAGGTTAGGTGTGAGCATACCTAGAAATCAATGAAGGAAAGCTTCCCTTCAAACCCTGCTATAAAAGACTGGGGGGGAGGGGGGAGGAGAGGAAGCTGATCATCTTCATAGCTAGGGTAACACAAAGAGAAAAGAAATGCATCAGGTAAACAAGGATAATACAGTGTGATATTGGTGAGTAGGAGGAGAGACAGAAAAGGGAAAGTGTTGCCAGAGGTGTAAGCAAGAGTCCCAAAGTGCTGCATTTAATCATCCTCTTGACATTTTCAGTAAGAAAGAACAAATGTTTGTGTACTGTGGCAAGGAGCTCTGGCAGTGAAATTGTGTTACTTACCCATAATGTCATTTTTTTTTGCATAATGTATATAGTGGATGTGGCAGAACATTAATCATTAGTGAAACAGATCAGAAGTATACATTGCTATCCAGGAAAGCTATAAAACTTGATGGGTATTTTGTATAAATGCTGTAATAACCAACAGAACTAAAGGATACAAAACCTGTTTGAGTTAATAATGGGAGAAGGAAAAAGAAGCTAGCAAGGTTTTGCTAGAGGTTTGACAGGGACCTAAGGACCTGGAGGTGGCTATCAATGCCCATCCTTAATGGAAATTTTCATTTCCTAGAAAGAGCCTGGGCTTTATCAGTGGGAGCGTTTGCTGTCCTGCAGGCACCTTGGATGTGTGAAGTGATGAATGTCTTCATTAAGCACTCACTGAACCAACAAGCAATCAGCCTACTCTCTAATTAGTGGAGGTGTCACAGAAGACCTGGCTGGCCATGGAAAGCAACCTTGATTGGATCAAATAAGATATTTCACCATAATTCAAACAGACACAGAAAAGGAGACAATGATGAAGATTCTTAATTACAAATGTGGAATCTTTATTTTAGAAACTAAATAGTCAAGCGAATGGGGATGAAATGGCAGTGGATGGGCCTGAAGGCAGCTGGGAGTGAAAGCTTGTTGCAGTGTGGAGCTGGCACAGGAACCTGTATTTGGAACTGGGAAGAGAGTTTAGGAGGGGTTTAGGGCTGGGCTTGGGGGGGTGACTATCTGCAAACACAAGGGGCTGGGGGTGACCAAATGCTTACAAATAGGGAAGAGAGGAGTCAGAAGAGAACAGTAACACCTGGGAAGAAGAACATTTGGGGGAAGAGCCAAACACCCAGCTGAGACTAAGACCAAAAAGCAAGGCTTTTCAGCTATGTAATTTAAAAAACAGAAGGAGAAATGAGGTGGGAACAGAAATAAGTTTTAGGGAGAGCTCTACACAGGGGCTGGAGCGAAATGCCCCAGAAGGCCATGATGGCAAACATATGTAAGGGAGGAAGAGCCTGCAGCAAAATGCCAAGATTTTAATGGAGCAAAGCTGAAGAAGGCTGGATAACCTTCATTTGAGATGAGGACTAGCATGTGAAAGTGCAGGGCAGGTAGCAAGGCTTGTTAATGTACCTGTCAGCTCAGGGAGTGACACATCTCTCTTTAAGCAGGGCAGAGAGGAGGGCAAGCAAAGGGCAGTGAGCTAAGCAACCGCAAGGCCATTTCTATAGGTCTATTGATCATAGGGTACCAGGCTGTAGAAAAAACTTGGAGGGGGAAGTAGTTGAATACATCAATCAGATAAAGTGCAGGGGAAGCTGACCAAGGGAGACTATGCTAAAATCACCTGACATCTTTGGTAATATCCATCTCTCCAGACAAAGGAGAGGTAGCAGAGACCTCAGGTGAACTTCAGTAATGTTGTAGTATCATGTGAGATCAGAATTAGGAAGAGGAGAGACACCTGGTTATGTTAGAAGAGGTACGGGATGGGGGTGAGAACTACTGCAGCTCATCAAGGTTGAACCCAGAGAGCAATCTTAATGTTTTTACTAACAGTCTCAGTATAAAAAATAGGATTTTTTTTCTGATTTGTACTGTTGGGAGTTGCCAGTCATGTTGAGGGGCAGAGATAAGGAGGGGTAGGTGGTGTGTGCCACACAGAACTCCTCTCCCTGTGATCCCAAGAGGCCATGGGGACATAGTTGTGCATCTCTGGAGAGGATGCTGAACTACATGTATCTGCTGATTGCTTTCCTGGCACACAAGAAATGTCCTATCCTCCCCACCTCCCAGCTCTAAAAACCAGCAGATGATGACTCAGAGAGGCTTTCTTTGTATCTGGGATGGACCAGGTTGGCCCTTCTCACATGATCAGCTCTGCTTGCAGCAGAGCAGCCCCAGGCAGCCGGGGAGCCAAGGCTGTCCTCCCACATTACATAATACAGGATGTCACTGCTGCAGCCATTTCTTAAAGACTCACTCACCACGATATGATGTACTGAGTAACATGCAGCAAAACACAATTCCCAGTGTGTGGGGGGAACACATGCTGTGTGTATTCTCAAGGTATGGTTAATGAAATACAGCTCTCAGCATCTCTGGGGCTGCTGGCAGCTGCTGCCTTATGAATACTGTCACAGCTGCAAAAAAAGTACAGCTCTTTCTAAGGGTTTAGGCTTTTTTTTCTTCCCTTAAAGTACCTGCACAGAAATGCTTTCTAGGCCTGCTTCTCACTGCTAAGCTGAAAGCGTGAGAGCTAAGTAATAAGATGTGATCTCCTGTCATGAACTCCTCTGCGCAGAACAGCAAATGCTGCCTTGCCTGGGCAGGGGTGCAGGGTAGGCGCTGTGCCTGTGCTTCTATGACCCTGCAGAGACATCAGCCCTGCGGGACAGGCTCACCCACTGAGCCACCAGTATCTGAGGCTGAAGGCTCTTATAGTCTCCATAACATCGCAGGTGTGACCAGCACTGCAGGCCCTTGATCCACCCAGGGGTTGTGCTACCAGGTGACACCAGGGTTACCGCCACACCAGCGCATGCAGGAGCTGACTTCCCCCCAGCATCCCCAGTACCTGCCAGATCCTGCCAGGAGGCGATGTGGGGTGGGCTGTGGGGGGCTGCTCACCAAGGAACCTTTGGGGGTGCGGAAGGGGTGCAGGGGGAGCCCGGGGGGTGGTGGCCTGGTGGCCTCACCCTTCTTGAACTCCTCAAGCAGCGTGTCGAGGCGCGTGTCGTTGAAGACACAGTGGAGTGGACGGCGGTAGAAGCGGGTGACAGTCTGCAGGGGGGTGCAGTCATCAGGGTCGACAAAGGCCAGGTCCTTGACAAAGAGCAGGTCGACAATGTTGTCACGCCGGTCACCCTCGTAGACGGGGATGCGGGTGTAGCCGGAGCGGAGGATCTCGGAGACGGTGGCGAAGTCCAGCACGGCATCAGCACGGAGCATGAAGCAGTCGGCCAGCGGCGTCAGCACGTCCTCCACCACCTTGGTGCGCAGCTCCAGCGCGCCCTGCACCATGGCCAACT